TCAGAAATCGATAAAATGATAGATGTAAAATAAAAATTTAGTTGATTATTCTTATTATTTTGTTAGTGCATATCCATCTAGAACTGAAGAGTAATAGCTATTTATTAGTGAAATATTAATAATTCGTAGGCAGATAAAATAATATCTACTTAATACCTGAAATGAATGTCATTCAAGCACATACTTATTATTGATTTGTATTTTTTTCAAGTGTTTTTTTGTATATAAATTCATTCCTTCATTTCAGCATCAGTAACCCCCTTAAAATTTTGTATATTCTTGTCTTCTATTTATTTCTTTATAATTTTTGTGAATATATTAAATATATGCGACATAAAATAATCCTAACAACAATCAATAAGAATAAATAAGTGGATATTACTACGGAGTCCGGACAAATCGTTAATAGCGATTGACATTTAATTAATTTTTTTGTTCTTATAATTTTCATTTGTTTCATATCTACAATTACATTGTTTGCATATTGAATTCTTAGATTAGCATTTTGTAATGTAGTAAATAATAACTTCATAAATTCATCCGAGCCTCTGTGACTAATAATTATTATAATCATTTCTAATGATAATATTATATAATAATTCATTAACTAATTGGTTTATTTAATTAATAATTATGCATGAATAAATAGACGCTCAAGTAGCTAAGACAACCTTTATAAAAGCGATAATTAATAATTATTATCGACAGATAAAATATAATAAATAGATCGATGGAGAAAATGTTCATAAAAGATACATTACAAAAAACGATGAGCGATTAAAAGGTAATCCAAGATTGTAACTCATTAGCCTTTACAGAAATGAGTAGTATACATAAATTTTACATCTAAACTTAATGTATGAAGTTTATCGATCATACAAGCAATATTATTTTTCGATTCTTTTTATTTTATTTATTTGTTTTAAGTTTCGTTTCGCATTTTGCTTTTCTTTTTCTCTCACTTCCGACTAAACATTCATGGTAACACGAGTAGATTAAACCTGCAACGCTGTCGAAATGTACAATTTATGCTAACATGCTTTTTGTATTTGCATTCATTTAAATTCACTTTTTAGCGTCGCAAATTAAGACGGCATACTTAATCAATAACATAGTGTTATCATCATGCTTATTGTTCTAAATTCGATGCCGAAACAGGTTTCGTCTTCTCGGCGCGCGTGCATATACGAAAGTATTCATTTCATAGAAATATTAATATTTTTATTTTCAAAGCGTTTACATGCTCGCGCGCGTATAATACAAATACATGCTACGAAATCAATCGATCGAAAGTATTTCCGATTTTTTTAAATTTTTAGTTTTGGTTTTTATCTAGCTTGAAAGCTTTTCTATTTTCTGTTTGTTTACTATTATATTCGCATGATTATTACCATTGGTATTTTATTAGCAGCGGCAAAAACCAGGACTCGCACATTTTCAACTTTTGACGATGGAAACAAATCTTGTTTCTGTCGTATTTGTCGTTTGTACGTTCTTCATAATCCTCTTACGTTTTCTGAATTGTTATTAAAGTGCATTGTATATATGTTTTTTTCTTTTGATCGAATTAGTTGTACAGTTTATCATCACGTATTGTACAGTAAACACGGGAAGGACGGAGTCGATCGAACGTGAAACATTTTCCAATTTGTTTATATGAAATCTTATCTAACTGTACCAATAATACCCGTTTTAACAAATTTTCATGAACTCTCGCCATTATGAATTCTGTATTTGATATTATTTATAAATAACATGTATTTATATTCATAACTCGATATTACTACGACGATCATTCTGCGCCTATTTTTTAACGATACTAATTATTCAGAATTTTATGCCATCAGATATATATTAAATAATAAAGTTATGATTATTTATTAAAGAGATTAAAAACAATAATGTCCTCTTCCATTTTTTTGTTCTCTTTTCGTGCTATGTTTAACTTTCATCTATGTTTAACTGTATAAATTAAGTAATTTTTTTAAATTTGTAAATACTTCTTATCTTTCCATTATGCTTATTAAATTGAAATATAAAAAATAACATTGTCCCTCTTATATAAACGAAAAAACCAATTTGCATATGTGTTTTCAAAAACATGCAGATATATATTCTGAAAAAATATTTCAATTGTAATAAAATGTGAAAAAATATAGAATCACCATATTTACATGTAATCACCGATGTATAAGGAGGACGAAAATACATTAAGGACATTGTTGGCTGTAATAATAAAGGAATTAATTGAAATTCAAATACTTAAGAAGTAAAACAAATAACATTTGAATTAAACACAAATCAGTTTAATTTATAAATAAAACATAATTTTATGTTATATAATAATTAAATAAATAAATAAATAATTATAGCAGCGGAAGTAAAGTAGTAATAGCAGATCAGTAGGAGTATCAATAATAGAAGCACTAACAGTTGCAGTAGCAGTACTAGTAGTGTAATAATGATGGTAGTAGTAGTAGTAGTGATAGTTATGGTAATGGTAATCAGCAGTAAATAATAGTACATACCATGATGATCAATATTAAAGAGTTTTTATGTTATATTTTTTTTTTATTTTTTTTCTACTTTTTATTTTTACTTTCCTTTACTAAGCTATAATTTTGTCAATAAAATTATAATATTTGTATACAATTAAATTTATAAAATTACTTATATTTCGATGCTACTGAATAAAAAAGAACAGAATAAAAAGAAATTAGTAAATAACAGCAATTATTATATCCAAGTTATTAGCTCTTAATATTTAAACACCTGAAAATTATCTTTCAAAGTTCAATGATATTATCATTCCATTCGTTCTTATTTATAATTTTACACGATAATAGACAAAATCACAAACTTATATTAAAAAAATTTTTTAATTTAGAAAAAGAACTAGAGGAAGAAGAAAAAGAGGATTAGAAAGTAAATTTTAATAGTAAGAATAATAATAATAACCAATATTTAGAATAATAATAGATAATTATGAGAATATGAGGTAAGAGGAGTGGAATACTTTACGCTTTTAAAAAGTAGTCCGTGCACTTTGATAACGATGAGTTTTTCTCCATAATTATCAAGGACACCGTAACGCGATTTGTATCTGCATTATAGATAACTTCGCATAATTTGACATGTTTACATGTGTTAAATGAATAAAATGAGGTACGAGTATAAGCACAATAAGAAGAGAGGAATTAATTGAGATCTCATAATTCAACAATTCAAATTTTTTGAAAGTTCATATTAAAGTATTTAGATTAAATCTTATTATAATTAATTGTTCTTTTTGTTTCTCTCTCGTCTTATATGCCTTCCTGGACTAGATACAAAAAGATGCATTTAATCAAAAGAATAATAATGATTGTAATTATAGCGATGACGATGATTATGATAGTCATGACGATATATGATTTACATACTGTCACGGCACGTAGTAATAATCATAAGTATATAATAATCGTTGCGAGGGCGAGTCAATTTTTGAAAAAGTTTTATAATGGTTATTTTAAATAACATCTATCAAATCTCATGAATTTATCGAAAGAAGCCTATAGATTACCATTTATTTTATATAATATTTAGTTTATAAATCAATACAATAACACTACTATAGTTCAACGATTGCCAAGCTGTTTCATTTCTTTCTTTATTTCTAAAATCATTTTTGCACCGATCACCGATTTATTCCATTTTTACTAATCTATTTAAAATTTTACGATTTATTCAATCTCTTTAAATATTGAGATTCATTTATTCAAATAGCCGAATAAAAAAATTAAAAAAAAAAAATATATATAGAAAAGAAGGATCGAATTATATACGACTATGTGTTTCTTTACTTAGTGGACTAGAGGTGATATCTTCTAACAATTAAATGTACACTATTATAAAAGAAGACTTCTGTAGGATTCGTGTTTCGTTCTTCTCCGTCCTTCGTATCACTCTTTTTAGTGTTGCTTTTTCATGTACGTATATATACATACACGCACACGTACATAATTGCGCAATAAACGCATAAGTATATGTACAAATGTGTACATACAAATGTTTGTATGTACGTATATATACGTTTACAGATACACATATTTGTATTTATATTAATATAATATATTTTTCAATTATTTTTTTATTCCCGTTTTCATTTTTTGCACAACTTGTTTAACTCTTCAGTTTTCGTTTGTTTCACATATGTATGTATGCAACACCATCGCTTGACGGCGTGCTGCCACTAGTTAATAATTATAAATTACTTCCTAAGCTATTATCGACTTTGTGCAAGCCCTGACTCACGCCATAAGCCATTTTTTCGAGCTGTTTTTTATGTGTAGATCAACCTGTATCCATGTACTTAGCATACTATCAACTAGACATGTGTAGACCATCAACGTTGACTATTTTTATACAAGATGTCAGCAATCTTTTCATTCATCATTTCTTAGTTATTTCTTGAAATACTGTATCATTTTATCACTCGCCCTTCGCATACGCCAATCATTACCCCCTCTTATTCTCAAGCTTTATTTAAGCTTTTGGCCTTGGCCGCCCTTTCGCTATCGTTACGCTCTATCGCTATGTTCCTGATGGATATTCAAAACTTTCTTGGGCCCTGGTTTATCTTTCACTGACGGAAACCTCGAGTGTTGAATCATGCGACCTTGGGACCCTTTCACTCCGGATGAACTCCGCTGGTTTGGCAACAACCAGCGCGGTAAAGCTTCAGCCGACTGGTGAACTCCTCCAGATTGTGGTAGCCAGAGGTGTGGGCCATGATGGTGGCCTAGGGACCGCTGTCCTAGGAACTGTCGATTGAGTTGCAGCTGTTGTATGTGATGGAACTGCTGCTGGTGCTTGGCACTGAACAGAAGGGCGGCCGCACCTGCAGCTCGCTTGGCGATCAGCTGCTGAATCATCGCTGCAGTTGCGGAGGAAGTTGTCGAGGAGGCCATGCCAGTGTCGCCCGAGTTATGTTCGTGGCGCTGCTGCTGTTGTTGCTGATAGAGCGGCCCTTGCTCGTCCTACGCAGCCTTGCTCTTATTTGTCTTGAAACTAACTTGGAGAACACGGTTACCAAGAGTGTAGCCGTTGAGACTTTGTATGGCGACCACTGCTTCTTCGTAGTTGGTCATAGTAACAAAACCAAAACCCTTGCACTTGTTAGTCTGGAGATCACGTATCACCTTGACTGACTGGACAGCGCCGAAAGGCCCAAACAGTTGCCAAAGGACATTCTCTTCGGTTTCAGGTGCAAGATTGTACACGAAAATGCACCATCCCGAGCCGTTCATCGCATTGCCAGGCAGCATCGAATTCGTTAGCAGATCTCCCGCCAGAGGACTGTACCTGAAACGACGCTCGTTAGTCGTTTTGCTGTTGACGGCTTGACGTTTAGTTTACGGATGACACTTCCAGCGTGAAGGTGCTTCTCCTGACTATGGCAAAATTTTCTTTTCCTTTCAGTCATCTTACTTCGAATTCATTTAAACAAAAAATATAATTCGAGTATAACTGCATTTTTAATATTTTAAATATAATAATTGTTTTTATATCAATTATTTATTATAATTTTAAATATTTGTTCATTAGTCACAGTTAATTAAAAAAAATACGTGTACTTTAAGTAAGAATTATTGAAAAATTTTTAATGAAATCTTTAATATTGTTTATGTAAAAAAATAAAGCCATTATTTAAGTAAGATTGATTATATCTATTAAAAAATTAAATATAATTATGAATTATTGAATTTGAATAAGTCAAGAAAAGCAACTTCTGATATGTATTAGGTCTTTATATTCTAAAAAAATTGAATTAATATTTATATAATCATTGAGGACAAAAAAAATGTAATAATAATACTTATTTTAAGTAGTTGATTATTTTACAATACCTAGTTTTTAACTTTTTTATAAATCTTAATATTTAAAAATAAGAAATAGTGTATTTTACTTATTTGCAACTATCTTTATAAATTAAATGTACTAAAAAATAAGGTTCTAAATGAAAAAAAAACATTTTTTTTCGTCCTTTAATATAAACTAAATACTACAATTCATGTATCATTACAATTTCAAATATATATTTATGAAATTTATAGCTTAAATTGTTAAAATATTATTACAATATGTATCGATTACTTAAAAATTATTATCTTAATCAACAGAATGTTTTTATAAATTATAAAAATTGTCAACACAATCCATTATTAATAATAATAATTTCATTCTATTAAATTTAAACTGGTATTCAATTAATATTTTGTTTCAAAATTTTATTTAATATTCACACTTAATTAAATAATTAAGTAAAAAATAAATTTTTAAAAACAAGTAAACAATTTTAAAATCAATTCATTAATTAATAACCAATTATTAAGTTTTATTAAAAGTTAAAAAAAAATGTAATAAGTAATTTTTTATTTATACTATTTATAATAATAATTGATTACCAACTGAAATTATTAATAAAAAATAATTGATTTAAGTTAATTAATCTAACAATTACTGAATAATTTATAAAAATACCCTTATAAAATATCGATATAATTGTATTATATAACAATAGATTAATGTGTTTTAAATTTTAATGTAATTATATAATTTTTTATGTATAACGTTTAATAAATTTATAAACAAAAATAATAAACAGTAATTGCTAATCCATTTACCTTCTATCTTAACATTTTTCAGTTCGAAAAATTGTAATATATAATATTGTAATATATATATATATATATGTAGTGTATTATATATACAGGTATAGAATTTGACAATGAGATTATAGAAATATTTATAAATAATATTCAAAAATACATTTTTTTTACAAATAAAATTAATATCATTTGAATGATAGAAATCAATTTAATTAATTCAAATTATATTAAAATATTATGTATTCATATATAAAAAAATATATCTAAATATATATAGTAATATAAATATTCATATGAAATCTCTAATGAATTTTCAATCTAAGAAAATAAGTAATAATTTATTGTATATCATATAATTTTTATTGATAAATGAATATTATTTTATAATTAATAACATGCGTAATATAAAAATAACGTTTTTGCAATTCATTACAGAATTACCCACTTAAAAATGTGAAAAGATTATAATTAATACATTTAACATATATTGCAGTATTATAACCAGTTGATAAATCGAGTTGAAATAATATAATTAAATAAATTACGTTAAATATGTTTTAGAATCATTAATTAACGAATTTATAAATTTTGAATTTTAAATATTGTATATACACATAAATATACATATATTATATGAAAGTTACGTACCTACTTGACATCATAAGCCGCGTTAAAATAAGGCACATCTTGATTAGTATACAATTGTAAAGCTATGAAATTCGTGACTTACAGTACGCGTTAATTGTTAGTGTTAAACAGCTTCGAATTATTTTTATTACCATTTTAAATTAGTTGATTAATTTTATCAAATATTTAATGAAAATATAATTACATTAGTTGTTGATCAGAAATTTGTGTTCAGCTTAAATGTGATACATTTTACAAATTTAATTAGATTTATTTAATTATTTGTTACTGCTAAATGGTTGATATTATTTTAATAAAACTGTAAGATTATTATGTAATAATATTTATAAAAGAAATAATTTTGATAATAAAATAATATTAAGTCACAATAAAATATAATAAAATAATGGTCATATATTCAGAAGGCATTAAAATAAATTAATCTAAAGAAAAATTTGTTATGCTTAATATGAAGTATATAAATAATAAAAGAATATATAAAAATGATAGAATAAGAAATTAATTTTCTTAAAATGTATATATTCGAACATTTTTTAAATATATTTAATTCAAAATAATCTATACATGTATACATAAAGTTTTAAAAAATATCTTAGTTTTTAATTGAATAAATATTATTCAATAAAATATTATTTTTAAAAATCAATAAATTATATTATAAACTAAATTTAAACAAGATCGTATAGTAAACTAAAAAAACTTTTTAATAAATTGATCTATTTATTACATGTATTTATTAATATTAATGATATGAAATTTATTGTAGAATGCATTTTTATGTTCAATAAATCACTTCGAAATATCTACGAAACATAACTTTTATATTACAATTTATTAAAATTTAGTAGTACATAATCTATATTGAATATCTATGAAAAAAACCAATTTTAGATTACTTTGTAAATTATAAAACATTTATAAAATTAAAAATTTTATTTTTATATTTATAACATGTTTCGAATTATAAATTATATTCTTATTATTTTATATAGTATTATATATTATATATATAATCCGTATCGAAATATATATCGAAATCGAAACATATGGATAGATGATAATGTGAATCTAAATTGGTCTTTATATAAATTGAAATTGTAGTTTCATAAGAAACTGTTCTTAAACGGAAAATTAATTTTTATAGGGAATTAAATTTAAATTAAATTAATAGAATAAAAATTATTTTCAAATATCGTTATATAAATCGAAACATAGAAACGTAACTGCGCACTGTCCAGATGAGGATAATGGCTAAGGAATAGGATAGTAAAAAGAAAAAGAACATAAAAATACTAACCTCTGTAACCCTTTGTTAATGGCAAGCATAGCCTTGCCAATGCTAAAACAAAACATAAGAAAAGGATGTGAGAAAAAAAATTCCGAATCCCAAAGCAGAATGAATTTTAATAAAAAATTTACGCTGATATATAATGGAAATAAGCTATACATACTGTATAAACAGACATGTGTCATAATTAAAAAAAAAATAAAAATAATTTTAAAAAATCGATAATTGAAATTCATAAAAAAGGAACAAAACATATTTTAATAAAGAAAAATGTTAAATAAGTAATAGTATATATTCATATATATATATATATATATATATTATAATGATTGTATATAAATAGAAAAATTAAAAATTGTAATAAATTTTAAAAATACGACAGCAATCTATAGACCTATTTAAGCCTGAAATACCCCGATTTATAGTTATTTTCAAGTAAAACAAATGATTAAATAAAAAACTAAAAGTTCAATTAACTTGTATTTTATTTATTAGCTTATTTTTTATTAATATAACTAATGTTGAGTATATAATAAATAATAAATAATTTTAAAAAAGCGATTAAATGATGTCATTTCTACATTAGTACTAACAGCAAACATCAGGATTTTCATTGGAATAATACAAAATTGTTTAATTATTGTACTTTTATGAAATTTGAAGATTTATTTTTATTTGTTTCTAAAGAAGCCTTATTATTCAAATATTTCTTATTAAAAACTTTATAATATATGTGCATCTTTGAATGGTAACTTTAAATAATGTAGATTAAAACATAAATCAGATGTAACTACTATTTGTTATTAGTCCGTTAAAATCAAATAATATGTATATTTACAATTATGTATACAGAGAATATTTGATATTTTAATAAATTAATTATTTATGGTTTTGGGTACTAAAAATACTAACATCTGAGTAAATTAAGATTTAGAATTGTCTCTATATTATTTCCTGTATTATAATAAACGATAGATAAAGGATGATATAAGCAGAACAAACAGAATTACTTTGCAAAGTACCTTCATAAAAGAAATGTTTCTAACCAATGAAATGATAAACTAAGGTATGCGAGGGAATATTTAAAAGAGCTTGATAAGGATCGAGTAATAATGGCGAGAGAAAATAATGACGTGGACAGAAATTGGTAGTAGTCGTGTGCACAAAGTTGTTTATAGGGAAGAAAAGAAAAGAAAATAAGCGCAATAAGCGCAGTAGATAGATCTGTGTACAAAGGTAAATACACAGAAATCATCGGACAAAATCATCGGTTTCTTTGTTCTTTCAGTTTGTTGGGTAGAGCGAGTAGAGGCGAGTAGGTACCTGGATAGTGGCGACAGTGGAATGTACCTGAAGCGGCCGGTTGGGTGGTGGATCGGGCCGCCAAATCGGCGTGTCGCTTGAGGCGTGAGGTATGCTGCTAAGGGCGGTATTGCCTTGCTGTTGTTGCTCGGATTATTTGCGAATTTGACGGTAATGGGCTCCGTTGAACCCTTTGGAATTGTCCCATTCAACTCTTGAATGGCACGTTCAGCTTCTACTCGCTGATCGAATCTGATGAAGCCGACCCCTTTCGATAAACCTGTAATACATAAGCCGATGCGAACAACGGCACCATAATCTTCCTGCATAGTACCAGACTTACAACTTGTCACTCGCCCTTTAGTCATTTACCATTTATACAACATATAATTTTGTTAAAAATTCCAATAGAAGTCTTTAGTAACAACTTTTTTCTTATACTTGTAAGTAATACAAATATGAGAGACATTAAACATGATTAAAATTTAAATCTATTGTATTGTTATAATTATTTACTAAACTTAACAAATAGTTAATTGTATATATTGTGTTTCAATTTTCTTAATATTTAATCATCATATTTTCATCATATTATCAACACTTTTTCATACAAAGATGCCTTAATAATTTTAAAGAAATCCAAAGAGATTTGATAAAAGAGTAAAAAACTCATTAATAGTAAATAAAAATTAAAAATTTAATAATAAATGGCTCGGTGCGCATAATTTCGTTTCTTTACGTCATGAAAATAAGCAGTGGCAATAATTGTAACTATGATTTATTCATCTTTAAGTATCTTTTAAATCTTTCATTAATATTAACTACATTGTCAGAATATTAAGTAACTCGAAAGGTGTCAGAGACAATAGATATTTTCTAATAAATAAGGTGATAAAATAATGTGGTATGAAAGCGTAAAGAAACAAAAATCTGGCACTAGTTAATCATACATTATAAATGAAATAAAAAATGTATTCTTATTAATATTACAGCAAATAAAAATCCTTTTATTATAAATTTTAAATATATAAAATATACATACTATAATATTGCAAATAAGAATGAGAAATTATGAAATGAATAAAAAATTTCTGAAAATAACTAAAAATAAATGTCCTTTGGTATTTTCCGATATTCATATAGTGTTACCTAACGATGATAATAAAAATCTTTTGTTCATTTAAAATTATAAAAATACACTAATAAAATTATGTTTAGTTATAAGGAGTAATAGAAAAAGTGGGAAAAGAAAAAGTTTATTGAATTACGTACCCGGCAAATTGTCTCCACCGCCAGTCGTAAATTGTCGTACTAAACAGAAACGAAGAAATCATATCTCAGTGAAAAACAGCAAAGGGCCTGATATTTTTTTAAATTATAATCTTATTCTTGTATCTCATTCCTCAGAAAAAGTTTAATGCGCATAAAAACGTATATACAAGTTTTTTAACTCGAAAATAGAAATTTGAGTTAAGTTTTCAAATACGAATGAAATTTTTACAAAACAATTTAATAATTTTACAATTGATTTTTAAATTGATTTATAACAGAAATAAAACAGTTTTTCAAAAATATGTTTCTAAAATTAAATTTATATGAAATGTTTTATTTAAGACATAACTATTTGTAAACCTTTCTTAACATTATTAATTAGTAGATCTGACATCAAAAATAATGACACAAAATTTTTAATTTACGTAAATTAACAATATTCAATGTAACAATTAACTTTTAAATATTAGATGATAATAGATTATTATTAATAAAATATAATGTATTATAATAATAGATAATACCCAATTATTCTAACAATTATTATTAATAGTTGCTACATAATTATTTTAATAGTTATTATCAATAATTACTACATAATTATTTAAATAGTTATAACCAGCAATTATTACATTATTATATTTTAAATAGTTTTAAAACTTAAGTAATTATTTAATTACACTATTAATGATATTTAACTAAATTTCAATACTTTACTTTAACAATTCGAAGTAAATTAAATGCAATGAATATAAAGTAATAGAAAATTTTAGTTGAAAATATATTACACATTATTCAATTCAAAGTTCTAAAAAAACGCTGCTGCTATTTTTTAAAATAGATTAGCGAATGAGAGGTGAGTATTTACTTTATAAATTTATGCGTTATAAAATGAACGAAATATGCTTTGTCCGTTTTTTTAAATTTTCAACACAAATAAAAATGTTTAGGAAAAGATACGATACATTTCATTTATCGATTATATTTATCGACATACATTTATACGATATATTTCAGTAAAATTATGAAATATTAAAATATAATAATATAAACAATGAGAATGAAATTATGACAAAGGAAAAATAATTATATTACAATGATTACAATCATATTGAGGTTTTAAAATTTTTTAGTAAGCAAGCAGATGTTACATAATTTAAAAATAACATATCGATGCTACATCAAGGGATACGTTTGAAGCTGGAACGAAGTTGTAAATAAATGAAACAATTGATGGAGAGAAGGAATAAATATAAAAGGAGAAAAAGTAAAGGCATATAATAGAAAAGGAAAGCGGAGTGATATTAAAAGTGGAATAATAGAAGCAACAATAAAGATGGAGGCCATGAGGCTGTGTGTGAAAAATGAAAAGGTATAAATTTTTAAAATTAGGACTATTTCTCTGTTCAATCATTAGAATTACAATAACATTGGGAAAAAAATGTTTAATCAATAAATAAATCACACGTGTATATATACATAAACGTAAATAAAAGATTTTTTGAAATCTTTAACTTTTATTACGGCACTGACAGCTTTCAAGGTTCTCGACTAATTTTGCACTAATTTTTTTATCATTATAGATAAATATTTGAATATCTTAATTTTATTTAAATTAAGTAAGAAAAAAAAGACGAGGCGCACCGATCCACCTCTCTGCTAAGCCCCATGGCCAAATTATCCTACTTTCCTGCTACACATTTTTTATACATATGTTTTATTTTTCTATTTATAATGAAACATAGTTTGTATGTTTTTAAGATAAAATAGTGCATAGTATATCTAGTCACCACACAATGTTTTAATAAGTATTTAAACGAGTATATTTATTTGAATATCAATACTATTTTTTTAATCGATTAGATCAAATAAATCATATCAACTTTTATTTTGATTAGCAATATTATTGACAATTACCAAGATAGAGATTTCTTTTTATTTATTTCTTATTATTGTTTATTATGAAATAATTCATTTGAAGTCAACAATAATACAGATCAATAAGTTTGTTTTCACAATTTTCAGGCTAAAAAGTATCAAAGCATGACTTACGCACATGTACATAAAAATTATATCCAAATCCATATCTACTTATTTGTCTAAGATGTAGAACTTACCTGTAATATTATCACATAGTATTCGTGAGGTAATAATCCTGCCATAAGGGTTGAATAGACTTTCCAGATCTTGCTGTGTCATATTTTTGGGTAAACCGCTAACGTAGAGGTTAGCGCCCTTTATAGCTTCGCTACTAGGTCTCGCATACGACACCTATTAAAATTAACCGATTACGTATTAATTCAAAATTAAAATTAAAATTGTATTCGATATCTAACTCTCATTCAACCTATATCATTTAATACTTCGCAATTAATCATTCATATCATAACTGTCTTCAACATTATATATTGCTTCTAAGATAATTTTACAAGATAAATATATGTTTTTAATGTTATTTAATTAAAATATTTGTTCACTACTTTTATTGTATTAACCCTACTTTATTTTAATCAAGACAGCATGGTAGGGGAATCAAATATATCACTAAAATCATAGATAAAATAAAAATTTTGTGCAATTTGTTTTAATAGAATTATCTAATACAAATACACGTAATTATTGAATGAAAAAGCAATAAAACTCTAATTAATAATAATTGTGTTTAAGATGTAGATTTAAAATAGACAATTCGCGAAGTTTCTTTATTTTATTATGTAAATTATAAATATTTGCTAAAAAGAATTCTTGTAGAAGTACAAATGTATATAATCAAATTATTACGTATTTTTAATTGATGGAATTATGGAAAAGATTCGTTAAAAAGGAATATAATAATAAAGGTTGGTTGATGTAGTAAAGTTAATGTTGATTTCATAAAAACGCTTTAAAGATGTATGAAAAACCAAAAACGAACCTTAATCGTTTTATTCTGTAAACGAAGACCATTAAGCGTGTTGATAGCCTTCTCGGCATCTTCTGGTCGATGATAGTTTACGAAACCATAGCCCAAGCTCTGACCTGGAAGGAATCAACGTGAACCTAATTATTTCGCCCAATATATAACTCCCGCGAGTGTAGTATCGCATATTACACCGCGTTATATATTCTACCGTTACAAATAGCAAAAAGAGTGAAAAGCAGATGATAACGTGAATATGACGGAAAAATTAATAATTTATTTGTATTAATCCACATGTCTGTCACGCGCGAAAGCCCAAACGTTCCCGTCTATCGTCGAGTGGCCGACAGGTGACAAGCGATCGAAATGAAAAAGATACAACTCTTGTGTCAACGAGCTACTTGGGCCGAGTAAACGAACTAGTATTTACATTCTTTCTAGGTAATGAAAATTTTTTCAACGAAAAAATAACAAATATTCTTTGATTATAATTCTATTGTACAAGGAAAAATGAAAATGAAATAATTAAAGTAAAAAATAATATTCGTGATAATATCAAAAACAATAACAACAACAATAAGAAGAAGAAAAGAAACAGCAGTAACAAGCAATGATTATTATTATTATAACAAGGAGGACGAAAAGGATGAAGATAATGATATCAGCGGTAATAATAATATAAAATTAGGTATTACAATAATAAATAATACTAATAACAATAATAATACTGGAAAGAATATTGAGAAAACTAAAAAGCTAGAAATATATGTATATATTTAAAGTATTCTACTTTAATTTGGTACATCGCTGTGTATTATTTTCAATATACTTAACAAAAGGTTTGATGAAGGTAGCATAATAAACAAAATATTTTAACGAACCATCTGCAAACAAATGTCTTTATACGTACTGTTCAGACCTGTTTAAAAAACAAAAAAAATAAAATTGTATACATTGTATAAAATATATGTCAATTTTTTATTGTAAAAAGTTGATTCGCTAATTTTACTTTAAAACAAAACAAAAATAATTATTTTTCTGCAAAAATTTGATTAAGTTTGATATTAAACATTTAATTTGGAAAAATATTTTTAGAATTTTATTCAATTACATCTTAAACTTGCATTGAAAAATTGTTATTTTTGTTCTAAAAATTAATAAATAAAATTTGTATTAAATTACGATGTAAAAGCTTTTGTAAGGACATTAATTTGGATATGAAAAAGTTCTTTTTGTTATCTAAAATAATTTTCTTGTTTATAGAATCATCTAAATATTTCTTACAGTATGTACATATTATATATATGAGCATACGCATAAAGAATAAAAAATGTATTAATAGTTGATTATATTTTAAGTTAAGAATTTAAATACTTAATACAATTAGAGTAGCTCATTAAAAACTATGTGATATATATATATATATAACGCAAAAACTTTTACGGCATATGAAACAATTTAAAATTAATGAAACTGAAATCTATAAATATAATTCTAAAAAACAAGCTTAATGAAGTGAGTTTTATCTGCTAATTAATTTTTTTCTTTCACTCTTTAAACGATATTTAAACGAAACGCCATGTATAAAATACAAAAATTAATTTTATATATAATAACAGCATACAAAAACGGAAGCCTGGTACAATAAATTAAAAAAAATTGATAAGTTAAAAAATAGTTTTTAATATACAAGTTTAAAATTATATCTTACACGCTATTGAAATTATTAACTTTAAATATAAAAATTTTGTAATTAATTCTTATAATATATATATATATATATATATATATATATATATATATCTAATGAAAATATATATAAAAAAAATGTATCTATAAGAAAATAATAAAAGTTATGCTTTTTAATTACTTGATAAAGTTTATATTTATATTCGAGGAAGTCAGCTAATGTTGTTTTATATTTAAAGCTTTTAATTTATCCTTCCAACAAAATAATTAAAACTAAATTACTTTTTTAAATTCTAAATTTCAATAAAGGTAAAATAAGTTTATTTTAATACGGAAATATTTTATAATTACAATACTATTCTGTAAGTTTGAATTTAATATTATACCTTTATTTTATTAAATAATAACTTTTATTAAATAATAACCTTTATTAAATAATAAAAATGATATTTCATTTGAAAGCAACAAAAAATTTATTGCTACTTGCATAAATGTTAAATTTACATGTTTTGTCAACTAAGCTAGTACCATATATTATAGATGTACAAAATATATTTTATAATAAAAAAATTAAATTACTTTGAAATTATCAGAGTTACTAAATAATTCTATAAAATCTTACGAATAATAAGATGTACGCTAACCGATGAGACTTAACAAAAAATATGCTGTTTTTATTTTATGTGAATAAATCATTTCATAGTTTCAAAATGTAATATAATCCGAATAAAAAATAAACAAATAAAATTATTTAATATCTATTCAAAAAGTCCTATTCCATTGTTAATTAGTTGCATTAACTTAAGTTAAATATTATTTTCTAACTAATAAATGTTTGAGTAATGAATACAAAATTTAAATTCGAATATTTTCAATGGCATGCTCGAACAAGTATCATATTTTGATTTTGATAAATGAAAACGAATACACCATAAAAACATGAAATCATATATAATTTTTAATTACTTTTCGCGCTTATAAAATAACTTCATAATATCGTAATTACTTAATTGAAAAAATCGATCAAAACATTATTGGACAGAGTAACAAAGACGTCAGTTTTTTAGATATAAAATGTTTCATTTAAAAGAATACGTAAGGAACTGAAGTTGAATAGATGAGGAATTTCGGAAAATTGGTTATATTAAACTGAAGATAAAACGATCGAATAAAAATATCGAACTTACCATACGCGCGTTTCTACCATGGCAATAAATATGAACTTATATAATTGATATCGGTGAAGATATTAAAACCCGGAAGTTATTAAACTTAATAATTGCTTCCTTCAATTTTAATCTAACTAAGGTTTTACACGTGAACGCCTCCGCGCACAAACATATTCGAGCCTTCACCCCGCTTTTATATCTCTCTTCTAATCTCTCCCCGAAAATAGCGTCCTACGACTGGTGGCAACTCTACACACGTGCTGCCGGAGTTGGGATAAAATCGTTCGCAAATGTTGAGTAAACGGATGTCGTTGACTTAACAAATCAATGTCATTTGTTATAATATCCCTTTTAATCCTCGTACATTTATTCGATTTCTTCTTGAAACTTCTCCTGTTTACTATTATACGCTTGCATTATATATGAATTATACTATTTGTTCTATAATAAATGTAAAATATGTTTTCGTGCCAATGCAAATTTTCAGGATCTTTGGATCTTCATATATATACAGTAATGTAAAAACTTAAAGCTACTTCCAAGTTTGAAAATAAAAGGGTTCACAAAGCTTATAGAAATCTTTTTATAATTTTGTATTATTAAGTTTTGAAATAACTTTTCTTTAAAATCATAAACTGAATTCTAAAATGTATAGATTTAAAGATTTTCATTTTATATTAACGCTCAATATTATTAAAGATTTTGCATAAATATTAATTACATTGTTGTAATAATTATTAATATTAAAGTTGGTCAGTTTGTAATTGGAAACGAATATTTCACTGAAAATTTATTATAGTATAATTTTATAGCTGTCAAAGTTTCAATGTTTTATATACCTATCATATTTGGATTCGCAGAATAAATGACATTTTATGATATAATAAGCTAAGAAAATTTTGTTAATATCTGGTCGCAGATTTTGAAAAATAAACGGTGAGAATGTACGCGCTTAGTTAAAAGATAAAAATGTAAGGAGTTAAGAGAAAAATACTTTGAATTAGCTCGATGAAAGGCGAGGAGGCGCACTACGAGAATCGCTACGTCCGGGCTTCCGTGTAAAATCAGATTCGCGGGCTCGAGGTAAGTGCGTCCCAGCGCGTGTAGTTGCGCGCGAGCTCTCGGAGGGTCACGGATCGAAGTTAAAAATAGGAATTGCAAAAAAGTGTATGGTCCTTACCAGTGACCTTATCGCGTATAAGTTTGCAGCTCTCCACCTCGCCAATGCTCGAAAAGAGGGACCTGATCTCCTCTTGCGTCATCGTCTGGGGTAAATAGTTCACAATCAAATTAGTTTTGGATTCTTCCTGTGAGCTTTGGCCCAGGTTTGAGCCGCCATTTTGTTGGACAACCGTATCCATGCCGTTCGCCATCATTTCAAATTTATGTTAAGCTTTTTAATGTATTGACACTTTTTTAAAATATTTTATTCTATTTCCAATAGTTTTCTAACTACGTATATCTGAAACAAAAACCAAATACGCAGCTTAAAATTTTTAATTTTTGGTTAATTTTATTCTTAAATTGATAATCGATTGATAATGTTTTATAAAATCAAATAACAAAATGACTCACTATTAGATATTTGCTTCATTAAATTAATTCAATGACAAACTTTTGAAACATGAAATAGTACAACTGATTATTTAAGAAAATAATCATTTCAAATAATTATAAATCTTATAATATTGCAAATTTCAAAATTATAATATACGTCCTAATTAAATTATTTAAATTATATATTAAATATAAAAAATATAAGTATAACTAGAAAACAATCAAATTTTATTAAAAAATTATTATTTTTCTTATTAATGAATCTATATATGTGCTGAATGATAATTTAATAAATACAATGAATTATAAATATAGTGTAGATTAAAATATATGTTTAAAATTTGGATTTATGTTTTTCAAAATATAGTATGAAATTACCAAATGCTACTTATCAAATTACTTTTTAATAAGCAAATAAACATATTAACATAAAATATTTATAACTGAATTTTAATATTTCAATTATGTATTACGTACTATGATACATAAATATCATTTTTCAGAACTTACAAGTTAACGAAGCAATAACAAACAGGTTAATTAATTTATTGAGTATGTTGCAAGTGCAAACATTGCTAAGTGAGCACATGCAACAAGCTTGGAGGCAACAAAAAGTGGTAATTTGAAAATCTTATATATGACATAAACAAAAGAATATAACTAAGGAATAATCATTCATATCAAGTAATTCGAAATAGCTTTAATGAATTGAGGATGACAATTTAGTATAACTATAAAGTGTATATTACGTGTGTTTTGAGCAATTAATATTTTAGCGATGAACATAACCGACGGTAGTTTGTGAAATTTCAATTGGTAAAAGTTGTGCATGTTTTTAGTTAGTCAATAAGAATAAATACTTAGATAGACCTATATTCATATACACAGCAAAGAAATCGTAATGATCATCAAAACTCTGATTTCTCAATACTAAATGACGAAAGTAATTCGAAATTCAAGAATCAATTCTTTCTAGAATTATAGAGTACGTATTCTATGAAATGTAAGAAGTTCGAATTTATTAAGAAATAAATAAATAAATAAATAAATATATATATATATATAATTTTAATTAAGTATATTTGTAAGTTTGTCTTAAATGAATTACAAATGAATTGTTTTTATTAAATTTTATCTGCTGTATAAAAATCGACACTTTAGATTTTTACTATTAATTATTTATTTAAAATAAATCAGCTAACTGTATAAAATAAGTTATAATTATATTAAAACTATTAAGTTTAATTATGTTAATGATTTTAAAATAAAAAATTAAACACTGGTTTCATTTATAGTCTAGTACAATATGTAATTAGAACTTTATAATTTACCATTTATAGAAAAAATGATTTTACAATAGTCTTGAAATATCAATTTTTACTTTTCAATTAATTTAAATTATTCATTTTTCACATACAAGCTCACAAAGAAAGTATATGCAGCATGCGTACAAGAGAGAGGAAAGAGAGAGCAAGAAGGTGGATGGGGTGATTCGACGAAGAATTATTCGCTGAATATTCTTTTATAGGGCCTCAGAGAACAAGAGAAAAGGGAAACGGTAGAAGGCGAAAAAGAAAGTATAAGAGGAGGGTCGTTGTACGCAGCTGTTACGGATGGTCGAAAGAACAGCCGGCATGAACCACTCATTACGTATTGCTCAGTTAGTCCATGTTCCGATGGTTTTAATGCATGGGGCCTTTTCCCTTCTACTCTCCCGCATCATTGCGACCCTTATTTTTCACAGATTGCCGTTCGTCATCTTTTACTTTACAATATGCTTATTTTACATACTTATTTTATGTCCAAAATGAGAGTCGAACTGGTTGTTAAATACGGAACATCAATAAAATAATTGTACTTTGATTGATATTAATTAATTTTTGTTTCTGGATAAATCTTTCATATTTTATATTTTAAATTAAATTATATTAAATGTACCATAATTCTATTAGATATAACTATGAATAGGTATGGATGAATTTATATCTGAGTATCATTTGAAAATAAAACTACTATAGAAAAACATTAACTTATATTATATAACAAATCTATAACAACTACTAAGCATAAATATTAATAGATAAACTTTTATTAATCAACATATTATATAAATCTTTTAAATATTCTACAGATAATAAAAATTCTAAGATCCTTAAACAAAAAAGTATAGATCCGGCAGTAACATTCTTATCAATTAAAAAATTCAGGTATAATATTGGCAATGATAAATTATTCTCCATTAATTTAAAAATGATTAGCGTAATAATTGAATAATCGCAAAGAGACTCATGTATCAGCGGAGCATATCTCTTTGTATCTGCTTACAGTTGTAAGTAGAAAACGGCCTTAAGGAAAACCACACTTTATTTCAAGATATATTTTTATTCTTTCATTCTTTTTGTATTTTATTTTTCCTTTCTTTCATGTATTATTGTTTTTTTTCAAAACTCTGTGTCATTTTTTGTAAGTATTCACAAATCTCAAACGTAACATGCTCATCAATAATAAAATATCGGACTATATTTCATTTATATATTTAATATCCAATAATGGTTGATTTATTCGGAATAAATTATTGGATTCTATCATACCTACACAAATCTTATTTATCTAAATTTAACCAAAAAATGTTTAACTGATTTTAGTATTATTATTATTATTAATCATATATAATTCATATACAATTTATATAAAAACATAATTATGTCATTGAAAGTCATTTTTTCTAATACAGAAAAAGGTTTATTTTGAAACGAACTATCTCTGCATTGAGATACAAGTCTGCTTAACTTTGAAAGAATTATAATACTCATGAAATTATGTGAATTTGTATAAAATACATGGAGATATATGATAACGAACTGTATCTTAACATATTCCTTTGCCAATTTTTGGCAAAACCTTAATAAAATTTTCTAAGAGTAAACATTGTTAACTTTTCTATACTCAAATTTATAAATATTTAAATATACAATAGTGTTTAGTCATTTAAAAAGAAATTAATATGAATTTGTGTATTTATGTACATACACATGTGTATGGATGTATCATTAAATAAATTATATTTAATAGTTGCATATGAATGCGTTGGTAATTATTTTTGTGTTATAATATAAGAATTTATATTGAAATAAGTATTATAAAGTTTAAATTTATTCATTTTAACAAATGAAAAAAATTAATATATCGTAAGATTACTGTTTGATTAGTAAATACATGCTTTAGAAATTGTTCACATTGCATATTTCAAAAAACGAAGACGCATTAAACCAGGATATCATGTTATTAATCATGGATGGTTATGGTCCGTAAGTAGAAGAAGTAATGGAACTGAACGTAGTTACATAGCCGTACACAGAAGAGGAAAAACTTCAACAAAACACTGTAGCTTCATCGGAGGTTCCTCGAACAGTATTTCGGTTTTGGAATTTTTCGTGACACGGACTTCATGAGAAGAATGCAAGGTAAACATTATAAAAGTGTACGTGGGCAAAGTCAACAAAGGTACGGAGACATTCGATGAGCACGGTTCAACAGGGGCAAAACGGACAACACGTTCGTTGATATCTCAAGGTATTACGTCTATATGTGTGCGTCTGCATCAATTTATTTTATGGCTTTTACACTATGTGCTGAAATAGTGAAAAAGAAAAGGCAGATGTCTAATTTCATTGTAATCGAAAACTAAAGTTTTGTGCTTATAATCAACTATAAGAATTCATCAATGAATTTAGATGTATGGGAAAGTATATATGCGTTAGGTTTCGTGTTCAACGACACTAATTCTCCTACAAATAAAAATAGTACTAAATTTTGATGCTATGTTCTACATAATAAGGTTTGCTATATTTCCTATTTTTCAAGCGCAGTACGTTAGAACGTTACTTTAAAAGCTCCACTACAACTACATTACGTTTTTCGATGTCCTAACGTTCTTTCATTAAAAGAAGCAGTTGCGCTTATATACTGGCTTCATTATTTTCATAATTAGACGTGACTAAAAATAATATTTTTGTAAAATTAGTCCTTTCACGACTTTGTTTTTATGACAAATATAATCACAAATAAGCGCTCATTATTTACATACTAGTATTGACAGTAATGGCACTAGTTTTAACTCGTAATTTAATTACCAACTATTTTATGCTATAAAAAAAGTATTTGTCTGAAATAATGTGAGATGAAACGTGATATTTAAAAGATATAATATATTGATGTTAACTGTTAAAGATTTCATTTTTAATATCAATTTTTAAATTGATGTAGCCATATTTAGCTATTAAAAGAATAGTAAGAACATTAATAAAGAATACTAAGGAGTTAAGTAAAAATAAGAGATGTATCGTTTATACTTAACAATTATTATAAGCGGCTGTAAACAAGGGGATGGTAGTAAAGGGGGTGTCCGTCATTTCGTATTTTATTTTTTGTTTTTTCAACACAACAGTGACGAGGTCGGCTTGGTATAGCCAGGTGGCCATGGCGACGAATCATGAAAATCGCAAAGCGCGTGGTTGGGGAGAGCGTGGTCGGGGCGAGCGACACAAGAGAGCGATCAATACTCGCATCAAGTCTTCTTGCCTCAACGCCCCCTGTTACGATATAAACGAAGGGGCAGTGAGTTTTGCCATTGCCGTCACTACCCTCTTCGGTTACAATCGCAAAAAGAAGGAAAGAAAAGTGTATTTAAAATGTGCACGCCCCCTTCGCTTACGTATATAAGATAGATAAAAAAAACACCTAACGTATAAACCAAGTATAACGAGTTATAAAAAGATATAAAAGTATATATATAAAAATTCAACATATCTAGTTCTTCTGTCAGCAAATAAGGTTGAAAAAATGTTTAGTAAGTACGTATATGAATAAAGAGTTTCGTACATCTTCACCGCATTTAATAAAAACAGACTTACCGTCTTGAATATAAAAATTTACATACCATCAATAGCAAAAAATACTGCAAATAAAATTGATAAGAACATATTTTTATTGTGAATTGACACAATATGTGGCCACGCGATGATTTCAACATAAAAGCAACATTGATAGGACAAGGGAATAGTATGAAAGGGATGATTGCTTCTTACCGTAAAATATATGAAAAAGCACAGCCAAACGTTGATATTTTCTGTTAAATTCTTCCTTTATTCACACATCCTTCCATCAATTAAAAAATACGGATTTATTTCCTGGATAACCAGAATGTAATACTTCAATTTCAATGCGATATCCCTCGCACTCGTATCAACCCTCGAACAACGCACCTTTAAAACGCACCTTTGTCGTCTAAGCCGTTTTCCTTGTGCACAAAAACGTTGTCGCATAAGAATTAACGAAAAATCTCCAGAATGTGCGCGCGCGCGTAAATTCCAAATACGTTTTTATGTGTAATTGTACAGTCGCATGCAATCGTTATTGCTTCTTCCAAAGGGGGTGAATGGTACGACTTACGAGCTGCAATTGACGTTTTAGCGTACCACCAATAAAGGTATATTAAGCTATGGTAATGGACTGAAAATGAAACATGTGTTGCGAAAGTCAAAAGGGGAACAGCGAAGACTAAAGACTAAAGGGAAAGAAAAGAAACCAAGTAACAAGAAATGCCCTAACGTGCACACGCGCGACGGCCTAACTCGGACTGATGTGGTAAAATTGGAGTCATAGACATTTGGACAATAAGCGCCGCCAACGGCGCATTGTCGAACCTTGTGCATGCTTGACGGCCCTTGGCGCCCGGCGTCGCTCGTCTCTTTTCAACCTGACCCATCCCTGCAACTGCCAACTCACAAAAAGCATACCGATTTATTTACACAAATTTTTGTTTATTAGAATAATGATAGAAATACTGTTCTTAAATATCCTTCATTATTCTGCTTAAAAAATTTAATCATCTTTGATTTAGCCATTTTATATTCGCATATTAATAATTTTTATTAATTTCCTTTACCTAATATAAAAAGGAACTTTAAAAGGAACATCGCATCATATAAGTGGAAATTGTGTTTTAATATTTCATTTTGTGAATATTATAAATAACGCACGTATTGAAAATATTAAAAAATGGTAAACTAAAATTAGAACTTTTTTTATATTTCAGAATTTTTCAGAATTTTTTTTCAGAGTTGTTAACAAATAATCAAAAAAACTCTAATGTACTATCATTCCTTACACTTTTTGTTCCTTTATGATTGCCAATATTTTTATGATGCTTCATACATTAAATGTAATAATGTATATTTTTTAAATATAATAATTTCATAAAAAATAAGAATCCAATTTTAATAAGTATACCTTTTTTATATTCTATAATTTTCTTTTATTATTGCTTAAATATATAATATGTTTTTCTGCTTTTGCAAATTTATATTAATGTTTTTTATATTTAAAACGCTAAAATGAAATTTATTAACTAGGATTTAATAAGTTAAGTTTCCATACTTAACTATTCTTACTCTTTAATTAAATTTCATCCATATGGTCTTACTGTATCATTTTAAATTAAATTTTAATATTAAATTTAATTTTTTATTTCATGTAAATAATTATTTTGTAATATAATAAAATTAATTTTTTGTATTTTTTCCCTTTTTTGAAAAAGAAGTTGACAATAAAATCAATATTTTAGTTGTAGCGAAAAACTTATTATTATCAAGACATATTCTACAATAAAGATTTAACATTTTTTTATAAATTACTTTCGAAAGTTAACTATATAATATGACAATACATATAGACATATAAAATGTTGTTTATTATTTGTTTTTTACTTTTGTATTATAAAATAATCATAATCAATTAATATATATAGTATATAATTTATTTAAATAATTAATTTTATTATCATGCATACACCATTGGGGTTATTAGGTTAATATAAATAGTATATGCTCTACAGTTGCTTACAAACTACAGAATAGCTATGCTTTATAAACAAAATATTAATATTATCGACAAATTTGTATCTATGTTGTATGAATTAAATATAAAGGAGACTAATATTGACTTTATTTAGAATAATCTATAACTTCATAAAATTTTTTGTTAGAAATATTAAATATAAAATTGAATTATACTCAGATTAAAAATCGATGCAAAATAGTTAAAATTATATTATAATAATATTTTTCAAAACCATTGTGAATCATATTGTTGATTGGGAATTGTATTATCAAAAAAAATAAAGTATATATAATTAAGAGTAGAAAATTTTAAATCAAACGCAATAAATAGAACAGTAATATATTTCATAAAAAAGATAAAATCGTAATTCAAAATAAATTGCAAAAACAATAAATTAATTATATAATTTAGTTAGTTGAGATTAATAAATTTCAATATTTCAACTATATATTATTCTGGAATGACATTCAGAAACTTATAGATAATTAGTATAGAAAAATTAAAAGGGTCATTGTACGTTACTTAATTCTTGATATTCGCAATTACTTTCTTTTCTTGTACGTGTCACCTTCGTAACTGCGATATGTAATGGAACTCAACAAATAAACTTGTGTTATAGAATCTTAAGAATGTGGCGACAAAAACTGTGATACATATCCTGACGATATACCAATTTTCGTAGCATACAATACTGCTTAATCCTTCGGTCTTTCCCCTCTTGATCTTATTCGACTTTCAAAGGAATGCTTATTATGATTTAGAGTTTAATTTTACTCTTTTATATAAGTGTGATTATATAATAAATTTAGAATAATTAATTATTGCTCTAAATTATATAAATATGACTATTTTTATTATGTAATTTGTTGGTATTAAACTGAAGTATATGAAAGTTTTTTATACATTTGAAAAAGATTAATATGTTTAGATATGTAATTTAATAAAGCATATTTACAAGATCGTTGTTAAACCATTTATTAAATATATTTAATGGTGTCTGATAACTGTTCATGGAAAAATTAAGTTTTTACTTAATTGTACGTTGTCATGATATCTATAGAGTACCAACACAGTACATTAATAGATAATAAAGAAAGAAGTTTATCCTGTCAATCTTGTATTATACGGAAAAAGGAAATTTGTATTGAAAAATATGAAACATACATACTAGTATTAAAAACACAAAGAAAATAATTTGTGAGTCGCGATTTTAAAATAATTCTAAAATTTTAAACAAAATTTGGTATTAAATACAAAACGATTGATAAAAAAACAGACTAGTAATGTTCTTATTAAAAAATTAATTATTTAATAGATGTGACACTGATAGAAAATTGTTTCGTGAGAAGTGTTTTGAAAATGTTGACATCTAGTGTAAATACTTGAATGGCAGAAACAGAAACTACAATCGATTTGAATCATTCATTCATTTTCTTCGTATTTTGAAATTGAAAATGAAAAATTTTTATTTTTATTTATAACAATATTTCGAATAATAATTATCTAACAAAATAATTAAATTTTAACATATATAGAAAAAACATTTTACATACATATGCAAACATAAACAAATCTATATTCAATTTTAAATGGGGTGGTATAATATTCTAAAACATCTAAATTCGCGTTCTGGAAACGTTGCAATTGCTATTATTATTTAAAAAATAATCATTTAATAATATGTAATCATTTTAATAACAAAACAGTTAGAATTACATATTGGTCCGTATGTAAATGATTTACATTTAAACTAGTATAGAATTACGTGAGTGGATCAACACGAGAGTACCATCTTTAGGGAAGGTCGTACTACTTGTAAACTCAAACAAATCTAAATAAATACAATATCATTTTTCTGACCGACTAACAACTATGTACCATATCTATCTAAATAGAAAACTATTTGTATATGTTATCAATGAATTAATTTTTTTTAAACAGCAAATTTAAAAGTGCGTTCTCCTGAAAATTTCTACTTGTAATTTTTCTGAATTATAATTATAGTGTATATTTCTGAATTAAATATATTTTATATTTAGCTTTAATAGAATAAAGCGGAGCAATTAAAAGGAATGCTAATTTTTTATTGTCAAATATATGTATAGAATCACTAAAATTTACTGTTGAACCTTGTTTTTACTACTTTAACCGTTCACCAACTTGAAAATTCATGTTTTAAGCTCCTCCATCGTATTGCTTTATTAGTGGATCTCTTAATGCGAAAATTGATAGCTTAAATGTAATACTACTAGCTTTAATATCATGTCCCTTACACTTTTGATAACATTTTCCGCTGTACATCTAAATTTACTACTGTCACTTAAAACCTAAATCCTGTTTTCTAGGAAACAATGGCAAAATGCTGAGTAAAGAAAAATGTATGATTGTTCATCAGCAAGAAAAATATATTTACATTAAAATCATTTAAACAATTCTTATTTTTTCAAATTTTTTAAAGAATAATACATAGTCTCAAATGTTTAAATCGAAATGTACAGTATGATCAATCTGCGATGTATTTTCTTAAATATTATAAATTCTAAACATTCTAAGAATTTTCTTTTTATAATTATAATTTATATATATATATATGTATAATTCTACTTAAAATTTTAGAAAATATTTCATTTTTTACTTTTCAATCTAAACTTTTCAATTTAAAAATATTTGTATTTCATATAATGAAAGTGCAATATCTTGAAAGAATTTTATTAAAATTTTTTAAAAGACTTTCGGTACCTATTCATTCATTTATTTATTATACATTAAAAAGATTCATGTATAAGAAGTTATATACAAGAAATTTGAAATGATTAAAAACTCTAAATTTATTATAAATTATAGGCATATTAGACTTATTTATTTTAATTGATGAAAGATATTTTATTTTTCTTATTTTTAGAATCAACGAAAATACTGAACTTTTGAATTTCAATACAAATACTTATAATAGTGTGACAATTTAGTATTAATTTGTATAAATATAAATAGCTACACAATTATCGTATACAATCATTAGATTTATTTTAAGAAATACATGAATATTAACAAATAATAACTATTTTGAAAATTTTTTTATTTTATTAAACAATGCTTAAAAAATATCTTAATTTACTCTTGAAAAGAAATATTATTATCTATAAAAAAAACAAGACAATACTAAATTTTTTTATATATAGATATTTGGATATTATGTATAATGTGTATAATGCATTATTATAGTTTCTCTGTATTTCTAATAAGATATATATGTCTATGAATTTAGTTTAGGATTAATTTTAGCTCTCAGATATAGTTATTTAATTAATTATACTAATTTTTTTCAAGAACTTTCAATAAGCTATTATTAGTAAGTTTTTGTTAATAAGAAATTAGACAAATTAATAATATTATTTATATGAAAACTTATCCAATTGTACCTATGGAAGTAATCTAGTCTGCTTGAAAATATTCTTTGAATTCATATTTCCACATCTACATTTACTATCACTAACATTCAATGTAACCTTTAAAATTAAACATTAGAATATGAACATAAAATTATAAGGTTCAATTGCAAATACTTTTTGAAAAATAGAATAACAGTTTAAAAGAAGAACAACAATTTATTCATTTTTTTTAAAAGAATTTATTATGAATAAGATTAATTTAATATATTATACCAATAGCCGATGTTAAAAATCTAATTATACTGTAATTAATATAAAAAAATGAAAATTTAATTAAA